ATGTTTTCATGCGGCCTCCCTTCGACTCGGCTTCTGGACCAGTTATAACCAGCACTTACAATAGTCGTCACAAGTACCAAGCATTTAACTCATTTTATGCGAGTTAATCTGTCATATCACCATGCATAATGATCGGAAGTATGGACTTGATCCCTTTTATATTCTTGATAAGTTAGCTTATGGTCAACAGCATATATTTAAGGAGATAGCAATGATTTGATCAAAATACAGCCCTGTGCTTAATTTCTTATGCTAAGCAAAAAAAAAAAGGTATAAGGACACATAAAACACCGTCAAAGTTGGAAAAATGTTCTTATATTTGCACCGAGACTAAAGGTCTGAAGGTGTTGCAGAATGCAGGTTCCAGAGGTTGCAGGCTGAAGATGCAATAAGCCCATGTGCTAGATTTGTGCAATGGTTAGCGGACCATCGATATTGAATAGGGTGGAGTCATATATTGAGTATTGAACTTTTTGTTAGTCGGGTTCGTGCACGGGCACGGGGTTAAATTTCTGACATTCATTTGTAGGGCTCTAATGGTTAATTTCAAAATACCGAATCCGTTCTTTCCATGCGGCACCATAGGGCTAATGTAATGTAACTAAAAAACTAAATAATGTAATGTAACAATTATGAAATTATTGGTAGGGCTCGGGCCCTACCAAATCTAGGCATACAAAACGAGACCCGTTGGTCCGTGGATGCTGCGAGAGCGAATGGTTACTAGCGCCCTCACAGCGAACCAACAGCGACTGTGGCGACACCGCTCGGTAAGACACGAAACTGCGGTTCACCACCACTCCTTCGCCGGGCCGTGGTGGTGGGATATAGCTCAGTTTCATATTGGCCGTTTTCACGACGGCCACCTGGCGAATGCACCTAATTTGACCACATCTGCACCAAATCTATTTTACAACAAATATCCTCATATCTTGAATTTATTTCAGTGTTTTTATCAAAAAAATGTCTGATAATTTGAACGATAAGGTTTACAAGCATGCCTGTGCAGCCCAAACTGATAACTTTTAAGAAACACACTAAACCTAATTTGACCAAATCCGCACCTAATCTGCACCTAATTTGCAGCAAATGTGCACCAAATTTCCGTCGTGAAAACGGCTATTATTTGCCCGGATTGGTGCTGGGCCTGGCCACCGTTCCGTCATTTCCATCCTCAGCAGGAGAGTCTCGACAGACAAATCCTTCTTCTCCTCGCCTCAGCCCCCTGCTCCGGACTGGACGGGCTGTCCCCCATCCCAAGCGGGAAGCTTCTTCTACAATTTGTTCAACTGTGACGTGACGTCTGAAAAACCTCGGTTGAGTTGAGTTGAGGATGTCGTTGAATAAACTGAATGAATGAATGAATGAATGAATGAATGAATGAATGAATGAATGAATGAATGAATGAATGAATGAATGAAAGGAGCAAGCTCGTACTACTTTGTACTCGTGGATGGGTTCAGCCCCAATGACTCACTAGGCCCGCCCAGAGCAATGTCTCCCCCTAATTCCTATCATCCTTCCTGCCCTGAAATGGTCTCGGTCAGACCGAAAGTACATACCGACCCAACACAAAAAGCAAAGGGAACTGGCCACATTCTCTACTGTTACTTGCGTGTGTAAAGAAAACTGGGATGCGCCGGACTGCGAATCTTTGTATAACATACCATAAATCTGTTTAGCATCATGTTCAACATTTTTCAACCCAGGATACCCAAGATTAGGTTACCAGAGGCCCGTTTTACTAACAGAAAAGCCGGCTTAGTTTATTTTTGCATAATGGTGCCTCTAAATTTCGCGAGGCACGTAAAAGACATGCGGCTGCTGATGTGGAAAATAGTACAAGCTAGCATGACAGATATGCTTTCACACCATCAGCTCTTTTTGATGTGGTTGGTGTTTCAGTTGTGGGAGACTCGAAGAAATAAAATACCGGCAGAAGGCGATTTTTCTGTTGGTAAAACTGGCCTCTCGTCAACTTAAGTAACCAATCCTCTTACAAAATTGTGTTCCTGACATTATAACAACTCATCTTGAAGAACTATACAGCTCGATGAATTGCATGAAGGTAACAACACCAACAATTTGCATATCTGGGATTTTTCACAATGACCTGTGGTCAGGTGAGGCATGTGACCTCACGAGTGCAATGGAGAAAGTACAAATGCATCCTGCCTCTGAATAAACATGTCAAGACCACACGGTATACACCGAACTGCATATGACCATTCGACCCGCCCATGTCCCATATGCAATGAACAGAGTGCACCTGATGGCAAGCGGTCAATAAAAAGGTTATGTTAGGTCATAAAAGATCACCCAGTTGTTCGACAATAAATTTTGGTGGAGACGCGTCAGAGTGATTAAATCTGTCGGCAGTACGGATACATTGATACACAACATAACCCTCCTATTGTTATGCTGTGCTTAACCCGGCAGTTGCTGGGGTATTTCGCCACCCACCGTTTGCTGGGGGGGGGGGGGGCGTTAAACGCCCCCAGCCGATAACTCGAGAACCAATAGGCGCAGCGAAACGCACGAGGCGGCAAACGAAAGAGCGCGACGAGACGCTTCAGATGAGTACTTTAAAGTTGAATTTTGAGGTCACAGGTCGGGTCAAGGTCAGGTCAAACACCTGAAATCGGGCTTTCAGTAGCATGGACTTCAGGACTTCGCAATGGGCGCCTCTCGCCATAAACTCTGTCAAAACGGTGCACAATCCATCTTATAAGGCCTACAAGAGTGTCAGCTCCATGTAGGGGTCAGTCAAGCATAGGTCAGGGTCAAGGTCAGGTCAACCGGGTAGGCACATATCCCCGAAAATCAAAACTGATATTCGCAGCCTGTGACACATGTTTTATAGGTAATTTGGGGCGTAGAACACGATGGTGACATTCATTTTATCATATGTGTACGTGTTTGGCTCAAAAAGTTCAATTTAAGAAATTCATGTATCATGGTCGTGAAGAAGTCACGAAAAATTGCCAAGATTCAGTTCAAGATTATGGAAAATGCAGAATGATAATCAATAATCGAAGATAGCCATTTGATTGACCATGGTATTGGCAGTCTAATGGCGTTTACGGCATGTCTGTATGTCTATTCTGTGATTTTATATGATTTTTTGAACATATGCCGTTTTTGGTCGAAAACTCAGAAATCATGACGTCACTAAAACCTCGATATCTCAAAAATTTTCCGACCGATTTTTTGAAACTTTGTTACAATAAACTTCAATCAATTCCCTACAGGTACCCAAAATTTGGCGCGCCTGCGGCGCGCCGTTTTTATGCTATGGCCCGGCGAAAAAAGTGGGGGCGTTTAACGCCCCCCCCCAGCAACTCGCGGGTTAACAAGCACAACATAACAATAAGAGGATATAACCTATAACACCTTAGCTTTATAGGTCTTGAACCTTGGCCTGAGGTCAAATTTTGAGGTTGCGATTTTCAGGTTAATAACCACCTATTCTATTTTTTTTTTTTTTTTTGAAACCATGTGATGCGTCTCGATGAGAGCAGCACAATGGTGGCAAAATAAATGCCATGCAACAATAGGTCTCAAATTTATGTTTTAAAAATGATAGGAATTAGGATGCCAATCGGATACCAACTTTTTGGTATACCGATACCAAACCGATACCAACTTGGTATTTGGTATTTCAATCGTAATGTGTTTGGTATTTTGTTGGTATCATAAGCCCTCACTAATGTATTATAAGAGGCTAATAAATCGGTAAAAAGTTGTATTTCCCTCAGTTTCCCAAGTTGGTTTGGTTTCGGTATTTTCCCGTGGTTTTGGTTGGTATTTGGTTTGGTATCGGTATTCCGATTTTCCGTAATTGACATCACTATAATAGTTAGTAATGTGTTAAAAAACGTCTTTCATGGCGGTTTTTGCCCTCCGTGGCTAAACTGTTGACCTCCTGCCAAGTCTGAGGACATTTACGTGAAAGGACATTGAAAGAGCTGTCGAATGCACTTTTCCGTGACTCTCTAAACTCTTTTATTTCACAAGATATGCGCCGATTTGTGAAAAAAATCGGCATTTTTCCACATAATTTTGCCTGAAGCCAGAGACCTCAGCGGTGACCTGTTTCGAAGAATGACCTGACATATGTTATAGCGAGCTAGCTAGTCCTCTTTCCACGTCTTCCTAGCTTTATTAGCTGCGGAGATGGCCGGGTGTGGCAAAATACGCCGCCTCCCTCACCCCCGCCCCTCACCATGGCAAAGTTGGCTGAGGCCCCCACCCGGGCGCGGGGCAGGACTTAGGTCATGCAGTATGCCACTATGATTAGGACCTCCGCCACGGTTTTGTGGTCCGCGCGATCCAGACAAACAGGGAGATGCCCGTCCGAATCAGTCTGTGTCTGTCTGTCTGTCTGTCTGTCTGTCTGTCTGTCTGTCTGTCTGTATGTATGAGTATCTGACTGCCTGTCTGTTTGTATGTCTGTCTGTAAATCCGTCTGTCTGTGTCCGGATTTGTCTTGTCAGTCTGTCTGTCTGTCTGTCTGTCTGTCTGTCTGTCTGTGTCCGGATTTGTCTGTCTGTCTGTCTGTCTGTCTGTCTGTCTGTCTGTCTGTCTGTCTGTCTGTCTGTCTGTCTGTCTGTCTGTCTGTATGTCTGTCTGTATGTCTGTCTGTCTGTCTGTCTGTCTGTCTGTCTGTCTGTCTGTCTGTCTGTCTGTATGTCTGTCTGTCTGTCTGTCTGTCTGTCTGTCTGTCTGTCTGTCTGTCTGTCTGTCTGTCTGTCTGTCTGTCTGTCTGTCTGTCTGTCTGTCTGTCTGTCTGTCTGTCTGTCTGTCTGTCTGTCTGTCTGTCTGTATGTCTCCCTGTATGTCTGTGTCCGGATTTGTCTGTCTGTCTGTCTGTCTGTCTGTTTGTCTGTTTGTCTGGCTGTCTCCGGATTTGTCTGTCTCCCTGTCAGCCTGCTTCTCTGTCTGTGTCTCCCTCCCCTCCCCTGCCCCCCCCCCAGCACCCCTCCCCCCTCCCACGCTGTGACTCATCATGGTCAACCTGCCTGCAATGGCCCGCACCAGCTCAGTCGTGCCCTGGCTGTACGACCGTGAACAGCCCCCGTGTTGGCCTCCCATACGGGGAGACGGACCACCTTAGCCCGGGAGGCTCTGTCGGGTGCCTGCTGGACTGCACAGAGTAAAGTTAGTTGCAGTGGTAATTTCACTGCACTGAACTCTTGTCGCGTGGTATTTGTTTATAAATTTAAATACCAAAATTATCCAAATTTGATTTCGTGATTATGCAAAATTAAGAACGGCTATTTTGTTTTTATTCATTCTACTGCGGTTCATTGAATAATTACAAGTGTAACGACGAGTGCCTGGAAGATTTTTGGACGTCTGCCAACTTCACATCACCAGGGATGATCCAGGTGAGTTTACTGTGCATTTCTGACAGCTGCAGCACCAGCTCGTAACAAATGACGTCACTGATTGGTGACGTCATCATCTAGAAGGCCACCGGGCGATTGCGGAGGCGTTCCCGCTGATTTTGTTCGACAGACTGAGCTGATTATGGCTCCTGACGGCGTATAACGGCGCACTAACTCGCTAAGGACAGTAGCCAGTCACGCGGGGTGCCACTAAAGAAGAAAAGTCATGTCGTGACACTCGGCAGGAAACGGTAGGAAAAAGTAATATAAGATAGAGATCGGCTGCCCTGTATTGTAGGCGTAAAAATCCGCCGAATTTGGGACTGTCGCCGAAATTAATTGCTACTGGTGGGTTCGTCCGACACCTGAAGGTCATAAATGTCAATGCAGTGTGTCTGCAACATTCCAATATTAGCGCACAATGTTGAGCCACTGGTCTATTTCGCGCGATGCAGCCTCGTTGCTCGTGCACCCTGATACACCCAATCGAGCCAATACTGTTCTATGTATTTCATTACTGAAAATATCTCAGTCGGTTCAGCGTGATGAGTCTGCATGCATATTTTGTCGTAAATTGTTTCAAAGAAGTGACCATTAACCATTTTGTCTGTGTATGATGTTAAGTCTAACGGAATGATCGCAACACCTCTGTCACTTTTTTTCTATAATAGGCCTTGATTATTATATTGTATTCGTCTTCTCCCGGCATTGCAGCATGCAAGTGCAACACCGAGTCCCGATTACAGCAGGTTTACCCATATGCTGCACTCTGAAGATTATTTGTAACTGATCAGGATTTAGTACTTAGACTAGAAAATGTCAACCCATAGATATCTGATATGATGCAACTTCTTATCTGTGTTCTTTGATTTGCACCGGCACATCAACCAATGACAAACCAACATAATTACCTGCTTATCCAAGCAGCGTTGCGGCCAACTGTGTCAAGGACGTGTTGCACGGCAGAAAAACAGCAGCTGCATCTGACTCACAGCTGCATTTTTATTTTTTCCTAAATTAGCAACTAAACAACATCTAGGCATTGAAAGGGTATCAATGCTTATTACCACAGCCTAGGATATGGCGCAAAAACTGCTAGCATAATGCGGCAACCACAATTAGTTATTTGTGTATAGTTTTACTTTTTGAAGCTTCTAGTGCCAGTGCATCCACGCTTATGTTTTTACTATATACACATTGCCCTTTTTTATCAGTTCACTTCAGTTCAGAACAGTTTATTTTATTGAAGTAAGAGTGTTAGCGGGCAAAGACGGCCGGCGCTCGGCGCGGTCGGTCCCCCGCGCCAGCGCACATGTGCGTGTCATGTGGCCCCTGTCCTGGTTCTCATGCCCACGTGTTGCGTACCTTGGGGGCTGAGACGGACGGGGGCCCGACATGCCGACAGTCTTGGACGGGACTTCGCCAGTGCGACACGGCCCGGTGTCATACGACGTGGCCGACGCGGCCTGACGAGAACGACGAATTGCGCTGCATGTGATCGCCCAGAGGTGCACAAACCTTCCTACTTGCCTACAATGTAGGAGACAGGAAAGAGCCGAAGAGGGCAGCCGCGAGACAGATTTCAGTTTGTGTTTTCTGTACAAAAATGACTATAAAAACAGCTAACTGGTAGCAATTGGTCGGTACAATCAGCTGTCAACGGGATTTGGTCATTCCATTTCTTAATTTCTTAACGTGTCTTCAAAAACAGTTCCTACAAATCTCCTCCATGAGACACCCACGAGACAGTTCCCATTGGATTAACATTGTGTCTCATGAGACACCGTGTAGGTAAAATGTAGGAAGAAAAACTGCGAAAGTGGTGGGCATGTTTCGAAAAACGGCGCACAAATTCTTTGGGCGCCTATCAGTTAAAACAAAACTCCTGTTCGAAAATGGGTTCTGTTAAGTTTCGTCAGCTGGTTTCCATAGCAACCGCCATTCGTGGGACAAGCTGACGCCATTTGCTAGCGCGTTGCGTGGTAACCAGCTATCGGTGTCAGTTGAATTTGAAAGATAATTGTAACAGTGAACAGCTCCTTCAGTTGCTTGTACTGTGCTGTGGATGTGTGTCTTGTGCAGTGTAAGGAGTGTAAGCAAAGCAAAAGGACTTCACATTATATTTTGTGATAGTGTGGTAATATAAGGTTGTGAGCTCCAAGTGGAGTTAAGGAATTGCCAAAGAAATGAAAACTCTGCATGGGCCGGAAATCTGCAGCCTGCACTTCTAAACTCTTCATAAGAGGTTCGTGGCAGGGGGCATTTTGGGGAGCGATTATGTGGAGGTGCTGGTAAGTAGGTAGGTACCCAACCTAATTGGCTTGGTGAGAACTGAAACTGGGTATCCATGCTAAGAACTGAAAACTGGGTACCCATGCTAAAAATCGTGTGTCCTTATGTCACATATTCCTGTAGATATTAGATAAGCCAATTGATTCATTTATCTGCAGTTATATTGGAAAAAATAGTGTGGCAAGCAATTGAAGTGGCTTTCAGAAACAACTACAAAGGTGTGAAGGATTATTAACTGAATTGTGAAATTGCTTTACCTATCCTATCTGATTACTTCAACTTTTTTTAAAGTTTCCATTCATTTTGATGATAAAGGACAACATTGAGAGATGCTAGCATGCAGGTAACTACCTATCTAGCTTTAATGTAAATAGGTGATAATTTCCTTCAAAAGAATATTGGCTCTTCAATGTACTGGAGTTTTAGTAATTGAAGGCATCTCACTTCATTTTGAACATTACCTAGGTATAACTTCTCTAGGCTGCATGACAAATTTTCAATTTCCTTGTTGTAACACCAATACCACAAACATTCATCTGGGCACAAGGCTCACAACATCAAATTATTCATGTTTTATAGACAGGTATATAGCAAAAAGGCAACAGAGATATGTGATTATTTTCAGCATATGCTTTGTGTTCAGTTGTGTATATAATAATTTTGTGGGTGGAAAATGTGTCATGAATTGTCTACAGGTCTGTGTAGAATTGTGAATGATATGAATATAGAAAAATGTAAATGGTCAGTTAAGTAGTCAACATGTTTACTCAATATCAAGATATGATGACATGGAGTTTGCTAATGAGTTTGCTCAAAGGCCTTTCAGTTAGTGTGGGAAGCAGCAATTTGAAGCACAAGCTTATAAAACTGATTTGTAATGGGGTTTGTGAAGTTCTCCATATATTTCACACAGAGCAATGTACCAGTACCTAATGCATTGCATTATTTTAAAATGAGGGAGACCATACTAAGTTGTCAGGTAGGCTTTGACATTGATTTCAAGATAAGACATGTAGGTGCTTTTTGCTTATAACTTGTCCTCATTCTCTGACTAAAGGAGTGGCAATACAATCTGAGTTGTTCTATTTTCCTCTTGCCTTGCCATTTTTGACATAATCCTTGCCCAATGCCCAGGCTATATGTAGGCATGATGAAGGTCAATCAGATGACATATTTCAAATATCACAGTCATAATTCCAGTTGAATTTGCCTAACTTTATTTAAACAATATAAGATTAGACATTGCATAGCTATAACAGGATATTTGAGCCACCACTGGCATAGAAATTAATAGATTACAAAACATTACTCAGCAAAACATTTTTATCAGTCATTGAGAGTGGAGGAAACACATCTAGACTTGACAACAAATTCTACAATTCATGTTGGCATAAGTAATAATTCAAATGGATACTTAGTGCATTTTTCTTAAGATTTTAAGCACTACATGAGATCCATCCAAAGGCACAGACCCAGAACAAAGGCTGTGTTATGAACAAGGACAATGCACCTTTTTTGGTATTTTAACATGTTGCTATATTCCGACATCCTAAGAAAAATAATATGGCCATCTGCCCTGCTTCATTTGATACGTATCGATGAGAAATTGGATGTTGCGGGAATGCTGTTAGCTTTCCGGCAGTTGTCTCCAGCAGCGACAAAATGGCCGCTTACTTTCTGTCAAACATTTGCTTTCATATGGCTAAGTACATTAAAGGTAGTGTGCCAGCTTTCCTGGACCGTATGGAGTTAATGGCCCAGATAAGGAGAACCGGATTTTTAGAACTTATCCATACCTTCAAAACTCATGGAAACGTCTTAAATTCTTCAAATTTTGAGTACCCCAGTGCGAAATTCGCCCCGACGGGTTGTCGGTCGTACCCCAACCACATTTCACACCACTATGAACAATAAATGCACACACTGAAATCGCTATTACCGATATGCTCATCCAATCAAGTTTCGATAAACCCGTTCATCATCAGCTCCTGCGGTTTCGAACACGCCTGTTAGGTGGTGCGGTAGACCGCGCCCAAAGCCAGGGCCCCGGTAACGTGAGGTAGCCGAGTCAGGGCAGCGTGCGCTGACCCAAGCCGGAGCCGCGCGTCCTCCCGGTGTCATGTGATAGCCCGGGGCTGCCCGCGGGGATGCGGTAGACCGCGCCCAAAGCTGCGGCCCCGGCTTGGGTCAGCGCACGCTGCCCCGACTCGGCTACCTCACGTTACCGGGGCCCTGGCTTTGGGCGCGGCTTCTGCTCATACTTTGTGGTGCGGTGGTGGTGCGTCGGGCTGCGCGCTCTGACTTCGGCCAAGAAAAATGCGTCAGCTGATCATTGTCATTTCTGCCACTTGCGTGTGGTGAAATGGGGTCATAACTTATGAGACGGCTTTTTCATATCAATTATTTTACATAAAATCATATTTCAAACCATAAATAATGTTCGACAGCCAAATAAAAGAAACAATACCAATATAGGCTTACAGTTTAAGGCTCGACATTGTGTTGTCTACGATTAGACAGCTGATAACTCATTCCCGTACGTCATATGGTCGTAACACTATAATGACCTTTGCTTATTGTCACATGTGCGCCGCATTCGCGATTGTTGCCGACGCCTGTTTGCAGGTGAGTCCACTACAGTTGTTATACATATCTAAAAACCGATAAACTTTTAGGCGAAAAAGGCACTATTCCAGGCCCATTTTTGA